TAACCATTGCGTTCACTGACTCACGGCTGCTATGGTTGCCTGCGTAAGACCTGCACAAGAGCAAGTTAAAAATGCAGCATACATTGGGGAGGGGCTAACAAGTCCCCGTCCCTAACCGAAATGCTAGTGCTAGTTGATGGCAGCTAGGAGAGGGAGAGTCATTTTTGTTTGGGTGTGTGGTCATCAGTAGGTTTCCAGTGCTCTAATGGCCACACACTCGTGTTGCTTGTAGGTAGCACTAATTGGATGTGGTGGTGGTGGTTGTGTGTGTGTGTGTGTGTGTGTGTGTGTGTGTGTGTGTGTGTGTGTGTGTTGATGATATAATGTGATGTAGAGAGGTCAAAGGTCAGTTTGAAGGCATGGTTATCTCTTTGACAGGAGTTGGCTATCTCCTTCAACCACATTGGTCCCTGGGCTCAAACTCTGGTTGTCAAGCTTGCCATCTCGCCAGCTGAGTTGTGAGGTTTTATTGCCCTATTTCCTGTCAGCTCTGTGGTTCCCACCCACAGACTCAAAGTGTCCAGCTGCCTCATGCTCCTGCCGCTATGCCTTTCCCATCAGGACAGAATGAATAGTCCCCCTCAAACCATGAGCCACAAGGAACCGTTTTTCACTCAAGGAACTTCTTGTTGGGTATTTGGACACACCAAGGGAAAAAATGACTAACATGGACTCTGAGGAAAGTTGTCTAAAGACTGCCTGCTAGTGCAAGCTAAGTGGTCAGCAGAGAATCATTTAGAATGCATTCTGGGCCAGGTGGTGGTGGCGCTCGCTTTTAATCCCAGCACTCAGGAGTGAGAGGCAGGGGGATCTTGTGGAGTCTGGTCTATAAAGTGAGTTATAGGATAGACATAGAAACAACCCTGTGTCAAAAAACACAGACAGACAGACAGACAGACAGACAGACAGACACAGAGAAACAGACACAGAGAGAGAGACAGAGAGAGACAGAGAGAGAGAATAAATGTATGCTTATATCCCCCCTCATTCTCTCTACTTTCATACAGTCCAGGACCCAAGCCAAGGGAATGGTGACACCACTTTTCAGCCTGAATCTTTCCAATAAACACATTCAAGGCAATTGCCCACAGGCATGCTTAAAGGTCCACTCTCTGATCGAGACAGTCACTCAATGAGAGTCTCTTCTCAGCTGCCTCTGTATTATAAAAAAAAAAAAAACCACAACCCTAAACCGCCACCATATTTATCCTATTGCATAAGTGAGTCCGGAATAGTCTCCTGGTCTCTCCCTCTCCACCACAGAGTCCCAGGAGGAAAATACTTGTAGAC